TGGGGTTCTGCAGTTGAGTTTTGTCCCCCAATAACTGTTGGCTCTGGCAGCTGGTTTCATGGTGCTGGAAGGAAGGGTGAGGTCTCATTCAGCAGTGGGGTGAAGGTGGCTCTTGATGAGATGGCTGCAGTGGGAGCTCATCACTTAATTATCAGAGAGGTCAGATCAGGAAGCAGAAAATCAGCAAAGAGCAAGTGAAACGAGAGAGAGGGAGACACTGTAAATAGCTCTGCTGTGGGTTTATGTGAAATCAGGACTTGCTTCCTCAGAAATACCAGTGAATAAAACTCCAGAGAAAAACCTCAAGCTGCCTTAACTCTGATGTGTATAAAATAAATCCCCAAATCCCCTGCCAGCCAGCACGAGCTGACTGCACAGCCCACACGGCGCTTCCCGGAGCGGAACAGTCTGAGTCTTCATTCACTTTCATTGCATTCATTTGCATTTCAGTTTCTGGAAGACCTTCATTTTTTTAAAGGGGGCCAGTTCCAGAGGGTGTCAGCTGGCTCTGCAAAACAGAAGCACCTTCAGTCTGCGTTGGGATCCTGCCAGTGTCTTCTTTCCAATAGTTCCCTATTTCTTCTGAGCCTTTGCCTCTCTGCAAGATTCTTTCTAGTTTGCTGGTTGACTTTGTATTTGCTGTTAGTTACAGTTCTCCCTGTTGGCTTTAAGAGGGTTACATTTCTAATGGGGCTAAATTTCTATCCTCAAGTTTGGAAGGGCCATTAATAGGTGGGACAGGAATGTTGTAGACACATCTTTGCATTTCAGAAACCCAGGCATAAAGGCAGATATAAAGCAGCAGCTTATAGTCTGGCTAGATTCTCAGATGTGTTGTTTATTGGAATATATTAAATATTTAATATTTTATGGACAATTTTTTGGGGGCTACAGGGTACTTACTTGGATTGAGAAGATACCTAGAAGGTTCTCACCTGCCTAACAAAAGCATCAAGATTGTGCCCCAAATAAAATGATTGGAAAAGTAACACCTGCCAAATGTTGCTTGATGTGGCTTGATGACCACTAAAGTGGGGCTGGGAGATCTTGACACCACACAACCCAACCTGCATATCCATCATCTCCTTTGGACCAAAGCTGCAAGTTCAGAGAGGCGTTGGGTGGAAAATGATCTCAGAAAATGAGCTGGAAACCTGTGCCTTCCATTGAGGTGGAGCTGTTGTGGAGCTTCCTCCTCAGTTCCTTAGACAGCTGTGAAACAGCTACTTTGAAAGTCACTAGAAGTGCGACAGTGTGCAGCCTTTTTTACTGCCTCAGAGCAGCAAAACTGGGATTATTTGGAATTTGTGTGGCTTTTTTTTTTTCACCCCCTTTGCCCAGATGAGCAGGATTTTTCTGGCTGTGCTGCTGGGTTGAGGTGTTGGTGCCAAGATCAAGCGATACATGCACATCTTGCTGAGCAAGAGGCACCCAGTGGACGTGCTGCGGGTAATTACGAGTGTTGCTTTCAAGTTTATTGTCCCCCCCTCCAGGGTTTTGCCTCGGGCATTTTTCTGCAGTGAGCTGACAGGGCTTTTTCTGAGCACTTTGGTTGTCATCTTCACCCCCCTGTCAGGATCCTGGCGTGGGTGAGACAAGGAGAAAACCGAGCCAAGACCTTTGATGAGGTGCGTTTGGAAAAGAACCTGAAGCTTTTCATGGCCCTGTCTTGGGTGGGGATTGGAGCTGGGCTTTGAGCTAGTGACAACAGCCAGAAGATTTCTCAGATTTCTCTCCACACCTGGATCACATTCCTGTGTGAGTTGCCAGTTCCCAGTGTAACAAGATCCCGTGTGGGTTTGGAGTCAGTTCTGTTCCCCTTGCAGCCACGTGGTGCAGTGAACACATTGCTCAGCAATGTCTGGAGCAGGCAGGGCTGCAGAAATTCATCCTCCCAGAAAACAACAGTGTTTTCTCCAGGAAGTGAGTGCAGGCACTGCAATACAACTTTATCTTTTTCTTAAACTAAGGCAAACAGTCCTGAAGAGACTTGACTCGCTCTGCTCCCAGCCTCCGGGATCCTCCAGTTCTTGGTGAGCTGGGAAACCACAACTCCCAGGGTAATGAGGCTTCTCTGCTCTGCTCTCTCAGCGTTACCTCTTTGCCTGGGAGTGAATTACTTCTCCAGCATGTCAAGCTGCTCTGGAGGATCTTTCTGACCGTGATCCTACTGCTTTTCTTGGGAGTACAGCAGCTGGAGAGGAAACTGGCACCCGCCCTCCCTATCAGCACAGCCTCCTGTTCTGAGGAGCCTGATGGTTCCCACCCTGTGCCTTATCCTTGTTTCTCTGTGCTTTGATGTGACCTTTTGCTGACTGGACAGTGACCTGTGCTCAGCCTTCAGATTTCCAGTCATCTCTTCTGGTTTCTCCAGCCCTGTAGTCAGTGCTTTGCTTTACCTGGTGGATTCACAGCGACGAATCTGACACAACTTTGGGATTTGTACTCTGTGAGTCCTGCCTGGCTGATTGAGGAGGAGGAGGAGGAGGAGGAGGGCCTTCTGTCTGTCTGTGCCCTCTGCAGCCCTGCATGGCCTTCAGGGTCCAGCTCCAGTTCTGTGCTCCCACCCTGCAAAAGGTAAGGATAACTCCTGCAGTGGGATCTCCTTCCAGGGCTGTGCCTTGGTTGGGGAAGCACTTTTGAGGAACTCTAGAGGGTTAAAACCATGGTTCTGAAACCAGACTAGGGGAAAAGTCACATGCAGGAGGGAGATTTTGCAAGTTGGTGCTTGCAGCTCTGGGGAAGGAGGCGCGCGGGGGTGCGGGATCCTTGCCTTGGGTGAGTCGTGTCTGGGTAGTCCATGGGCACAGCATTCCTGGGCACAGGTTGGGGCTGTGGGACCAGAGACCTCCCCTCTTGGTGGGAGACAGCGTGGTGCCTGGGCAGTGCTGATCAGGACCCTGGCAGATACAGGACAGGGGGAAGGAAGAGGAGGGAGCTGAGCTGGCTCGCCGGGAGCTGCAGGGGAGCAGGACCAGGTGAGTACCTGCCTGCTTGCTGGAAGTGAAGCAGAAGCTCTTACTGAATGCTCCCTGCTGTTCAGCAATGGCTTGGAGGTGTCCTACAAAGAGGGTCTGTAGCCTGAAGGAGGCAAAGTTGTCAGAGGAATGTTGGTATTGCATGAAGAATAAGAAGAAAGAATAATAAAGAAAGGGACACGGATCCTGGGGAGTGCAGGGGAGGAGATGGTGCCCCTTGCATTAGCACAGAGGGAGGCAGAGGAGGATTTGGGGGGACCCATCTCCAAAAGCAGGCAGTCAACAGAGCCAAGGGAGCCTTTGCTGCACGAGGAGGTAAAAGCAAAGCTGCTTTTGCTGAGGAGCTCATTCCAGCTGGGAAGTCTGAGCTGTCCTGGCCCTGCTGCAGCCTTTGCTGTCATGTCCTGGGGACTGCCCTCCAGGGACTCCAAATGCTCAACATATAAACTAGAGAATCTTGATTAATCTCTACTTAATGTGACAGTAACAATGACAGGGTGGTAGGTTTTAATTTGCTTCTCTTTTTGTTTCCTCTGGTTTTTCACTCTGCTGTTCTGCGCTGGCTTTTCTGTCCTGTTTTTCACTTTCACTTTCCCTTCTGCTTGAGGTTACCCTGAAAGGACTGAAGGGGAAAGCAGTGTGAAAATTCCTTGTTTGGATCCCCCTTTCAATGCTGGGATCCATGCTCTGTAGCATCTGCCTGCCCCTGCTCCACAAGGGAATGGCCCAGGAAGAACCACCCCCCGCCCGTGTCCATCCTGGTGCACACACACAGGATCACAGAGCAGTTGGGCTTGGGAGGGAACTTTAAAGCTGTGCAACACTTCTACCATGGGCAGGGACATCTTCACCTAGACCACACACACCTCTTCTGCCCCACGTACCATGACCCACTTCCCTCAGGTGTCAGTTCCCAGCCCTCTGCAGTTTTTCTTCTACAAGCAGAAGAACCTTCTGTGTTTCTCTTGCCTCATTTCCCTCTCTCACAGCCCTTCAGCTGGTGACAATCCTGGCTTTGTGCAGCGGGGTAGTTGCAGCAGCAACCATCAGTTCAAAAGGAAACAACCTCCTTTGGAAGGAGCAGGGATGAGCCCTCTGAGGGACCCTCACAACCTCCTGCTGCAAAAGTGAAACCAGCCAGAGGATCCACAGCAGCTGAGAGCTCTGGGGAGGCTGCAGCAGAACCACGGGAGTGAAAGATAATTGCAAAGTAAACTTCAGAGTCTTCCAAGCATTCATTTAACAACCACCCACAAGCCCTGGCAGGAGGTTGGAGACTTATGTCAGCAGTGTTTGCCTGGATAACCCGTGGGCACAGGGATCTGCTCCACCAGCTTCTGGCACCGCCCGTGGGCAGAGCAGGGACCAGAGCAGAGCCCTGCAGGGCTTCCCTCCTGCCTGCACTGGGTGCATTTTCCATCCCTCTCTGCCCTGCTGCCTTTGTGTGCTGGGGGATTGATTGTCTGCTCAAGGGGAGTGGGATCATCCCTTCCAGGGGAGCATTTACACCCACTCCTCTTTCTTCTGGAGGTGCCTGCTGGAAGATGCTGTTGGTTTCACCAGGAGGAATCCTGCCTGTTCCTTGAGGAGCTGTTTGCAAACTATGAATATTTAAAGCTGTCTGGATAAATTAAGGAATATTTAAGGATAACTTTTCCACCTATTTAGGAAAAAATAAAGTACTTGCAGCAAAAGGGGAGCCTGTGAGGACTGCAGCTGAGGCTGGATGACACCCACCTGGTGGTAACACCCACAGGGTGGTCTGTGCTCTTACCCTCCACCTGCTGCCTCTGCAAGATTTCAGGTTTTCTTTTCCTCTTTTCAGGGCTAGAAAATACCTCCTTGCTCGTGGAAAGCAGGTCCTGAAGGGAGATGCCAGTGGGAGCCTGAGAAAGGATTTCACAACCTGGTCCCCAAGGAGCAGAGCAGGTGCTCCTCAGCAGTGGAAGGCAAGGTGGGCACTCAAAGGGTTGGATTTCTGACAGTCCAACATAGAATTCCACGAGGAGAGGCACCTTCAGCATGGCCCATAAAAGCCAAGATGATGAAACTGAGAAAAATGGATCATTCTCCTCCATCCTCTACTGCAAGAATGATTTAAAGGAAGGATCTCTGCAATGGGTGAAAGGTAAGTGAGCAGCTTGGTGATGATAAGGAGGAACTTGGTGGTGATAAGGAGAGAGGCAGCACTCAGTACAGTGCCCCTAAAATAACAGAAGACAGATTTTTCACAGATGCTCATTAACAGCATCTCATGTGCAAAAGCAACAAAACATTATGGATGTTTCAGCATTTTGGGGAGGACATGGAGACACTTTTGGCTTTTTTGGAAAGCCTGATACATAGGGATGAATGAACATTCACCTGTTGAAAACAAGGAACCTCTTCTCCTGGCCTTCAAAAGTAATATTGGGGAACTTTGATCTGTGCTTTCCTTGTTACCTTCCCCATTAACAATTTGCTCTGTCTCTGCAGTACTAGTTGAGAAGCCACCTGAGGTGCTGTGCAGATACCAAGCAGGCAGTGCAGTGGGTGGCTATGCCCACCCAGGCTTCCATGCACCATTCAGCAGGGCACCCTTTTTGCTTTCTCAGTTACTGGAACCTCCTGAGTGCTCAGTTTTTGCAGGGGTGAAGCAGCTCTCAACCACTCCTTCAGGGCTCAAGGGGCTGAGCCCCTCTGCAAATCTCAGGTAGCTCAGCTTGGCATCCAACTTGCTACACTTTGTGCTGAGCAACTTGACCAACACCATGTAGAACAGGAGAGACAAGCACCAGACAGGCTGTTTGGGTTTTTTTCTTGTTTAATCAGAGAATCATAGAATGGTTTAGTTGGAAGGGACCTTAAAGATCTTCTAGATCCAACCCCCCTGCATGGGCAGGGACACCTCCCACCAGCCCAGGCTGCTCCAAGCCCCATCCAACCTGCCCTTCAACACTGCCAGGGATGGGGCAGCCACAGCTTCCCTGGGCACCCTGGGCCAGGCTCTCACCACCCTCACAGGGAAGAATTTCCTCCTGATGTCTAAATCTCCCCTCTTCAAGTGTTAACACTCACTGCCTCAGCAAACAAACAGGACCTTGTTACCCTGGAGGTTTCAGATGTGTCTGCTCTTCCTTTTTTGACTCAATTCAATCACATCCTGTTGTAATCTAATTGCCTCCTTTCACTTGAACCTCCTCTTCCTGAGTAGCCAAGAGGTGATGAGGACGGAGGACCTCAGTGGGAGAGAAGGGGAAGGTGAGTGCAGGGAGAGCATTAAGTGGCCAAGTCAGGAGGAACAGCCCCAGGAGCCACCTGGCTGGCCCCAGATCTGCAATGAGGAAGGAAAGCTGGGTGAAACTTTGGAGTGAAACTTAATCTCATCTGAACACGCCACTTCCTTAGACACCATCTCTTCCTCCTGACGTAGCAGAGCTTGTGTAAACTCCAGATGAATGCCAGCTGAGATGCATGGAGATCACAGCTCTCCTGTGCTGCACCAAGGCTGCTCTGCCTCAGCTCTGAGCAGCCTGCTCCTCAAATCTAGGGCAGGATGTCCTCATGCCTCCTAACTGCAACTTGGATGTCTGGATTGTATCTCTGATCCTATCCTGGGCTGAAACTGGGGAGCTGAGAGCCTCGAGCAGAGCTGTGCTGCCCTGCAGAGCTGCTGGAGTGGGGACCTGGGTGCTGGAGGACCTATGGAGCTCATGCTCCAGGGTATCCCTGCCGTGTCCCAGGAATGTGATGATTGGAAAGCACTTTGATTGGATTGCTCAAGCTCTTTCTGTGGTGGGTGGGGTGGACAGGCACTGGGGTGTCTGTGAGAGGCAGCCTGTGCTCCACCCAGCAGCTGGAGTCCATTGCCCTTTCCATCAGGGATCAGTGAG